ATCTATAACGATTGCCATTTTTTCAAATCTAACATTGCAAATGTGCACATTGGCATTTTTGCAATTTCCGTGTTTGTTTTTTTAACAAGTGTCGTCTCTACCGCAAAAAGAGGAGAAAACAGAGGAAAGTTAAAGCATTTTCACTGTATATCTGTCTCTCTCTCTCTTGTTTCCTTTTTCCTTTCATGGCCAAAATGGAACCAACCAGCTTCTCTCTGGCCATCCTTCTTCTAAGATCTTCTTCCTAATTTTTTTCCCAGATTTCTTCATCTTCTTCCTTTTTCGAATTTTTTTTTTTTTGAGAAATTTCTTTCGTTGTGTTTGAAAAAAAAAATGGCTCAATCTTGTCTTAAAATCAACAATCTGAGGAATAGAGTGAATCGTCGGATTTTGATTCTTCGTCGATTTACGCGGTTGTTATGGAGTAGAATCGTCGCTTGTACTCCCGGAAAATCACGGAGATATCTCTTGCTTTCTCGCGCCGCTCCGTCTCCGAGCGTCTCTCGTCCTCAGGTTCATCCTCCGACTCCGACGACGACTATTCCCGCCGTGGAAGTCTGTGGTGGTGAGTTCGTACGCCGCGCACCACCGGTGTACGATCACGATAACAGCCACCGGAGATCGGATTCCGATCTGGTTTCTCTTAAGATCAGCCTATTAGGAGATCCAGAAATCGGAAAAACTAGCTTCCTGGTTCGTATTTAAAGCCTTAATCATACTTTTAATTTTTTTTTTGAAATCCCTAATAAATTTCGTAATCAATTTGATTATGAATCGGAAAAATCGAACAAGATTATTTATAAATTTTGAATTGGTTTGATTTTTGAATCTGTGAAGGCGAAATATGTTGGAGAAGAGAAAGAAGTAGAAATGATAGAATTGGAGAAAGGAATCATTTGTACGGACAAGACATTATCAATGGGAGGTGCTCGCATTTCATACAGTATCTGGGAATTAGAAGGTTAATTATTATGATTCTTAAAATCAAATAGTATTTGATTATGAGCTTTAATTAAAAGAGTTTAATTAAATTTTTACAGGAGATGAGAAATCAAGGGATCAAATCCCCATGGCTTGCAAAGACTCTGTAGCTATTCTTTTCATGTTTGATCTAACCAGTCGTTGCACACTTAACAGGTTAATTTAATTACTACTGTTTTAAAGAAAATTTTGTAAATTAATTTGCAATTTTGAAGCTAAAATCTTTATATCATTATGCAGTGTGATTAGCTGGTATCAACAAGCTAGGAAATCTAATCAGGTAACCTATCCTCGATCATTGCCAATTGAATTTCGATCCAAATCGTTGTTACAATGTTTTGCGAACACTAATATGATTGATATTGTATGCAGACGGCGATTCCAGTTTTGGTAGGAACCAAGTTCGATGAGTTTATTCAGCTTCCTATTGATCTTCAATGGACAATTGCTAGTCAGGTAATGTGTTTTTAAACCAATTTGGAAAGTCGTACAAAATTATTACAAGAGCTTATAAATCCCATTGACATTGTTGTACATGTGTGTGTGAACAGGCGAGAACGTACGCAAAGGCGCTGAACGCGACGCTCTTCTTCTCGAGTGCTTCGTACAATATAAACGTAAATAAGATCTTCAAGTTTGTGACGGCTAAGCTCTTCGATTTACCATGGACGGTGGAGCGAAATCTCACCATCGGAGAACCAATCATCGATTTCTAGCATCTTTCAAAACGTATTTGTAGATATTTTATATAAAAGAAACGAAAATCCGATGATACACGTTTTCTTTCTTCTTACATTCGACTGATCGGACCACCGTTTCTTAGCCGTATTAAAGCGAAATGGAGAGATGAGGCGGTGGAGTTTTCGCCCGCTTTCTTCATTAGTATCTGTTTCTTTTTTA